CAGAGCAAATGACGCATTATTGATGCCACAAATGACAAATTTCTCACCCTCACAAAAAACAAATCAAACCCAACAAAATCAATCCAGCAAGAGTGAACTTACCTCTCAAAGTCAATCGGGAGCTCCGAAGTCAGTCAGCTTGAGAGAATGTGGTGGACATTAGAGAGGATTCTTTCGTAGTGGAGACTCCATCTCTACCAATCGAGGAACAACTGCAGCAGCACAAAAAAGAGATATGCTACTTTGCTTTCATCTGGAATCTCTTCTGCTAAACGAAAAAGAGAAGGGGTTTTCACTTGAATCATAGAATCAAAACAGGGCAATAGCTAGGTAAAAGCCATTAATCGTCATACCGAGGATACCATAGATCGCAGACCTCCCAAGGAGCTGATGACAATGGAGCGATTATAGAGTTTGGGAGCTTTGGATATTTCTAATTGTGGATTTGCATTACATTAAAAAAGAGAGGATTGTGTTCTTGAGTTTTTCACAGAGAGGGAAAAATCTTCAGCTGAAGTTGGGTTTCCAAACGGGTCAGATTTCAACTCGGTTCTACATGCACCCTCTTTTAAAAACTCACCGTTGGATGAAATCCAACGGCTCTTACATACCCCTCAAAAAAACCCCTTATAACTTTCCACTCACTATAGAAGCACTCTTCATTAACAAAGTGGGGAAAATAACCTAAAAGGAAAAACATTAAAAAAAAAAGGCCCAGCCCACAAAGGAGAAGAGAGGTGCTCAAAAGATACACATAAGCATAAATACAAGAGCAAGAAAGAAACGAACTGATGCTAACAGAAAAACAATAGAGACCATAGCTTTAAGCCAACATTCATTCTGGCTAACAACCATTAAGAGCCTTAGGTAAGGGGAGGACAAGGGCAACCGTCTTTGTTCAGAATATGGGTCAGCAAGGATGGGGGCCTGTTGACCCAAACTTACGTGTGTACCCTTGCCTGAGCTAGTGACGCCAAGAAATAGGTCACTTTTTTTTGTTGATCTGTAAATCCAAGACTAGTTACAAGAGTGGAAATACTGATTACTCTCCTTAATTTTATGGAGATTGGGGTAAATGGTCCAAGCACCCCTGGCAATGTTATCATTCAAGCTTTGGATGATGCCCTGAGAATCAGATTCCACCACAACGTCGAAGGGAGAGCCCTGCCATGGTCGGAGGGAGAGCCACCAACAAGTTATGGATCGAGGTCGGCTAATAATTGGAGGAAGCGGGGGCATGGACTACATGGGGCATCGCCCACGAGGTCAAAGGCTTCCTATTCAACTAATTCATATTATTTGACTTTAGATGCTGCAGATGCTTCCTCGGCCGTGCAGTACGTACTTCTATTTGGAGAGTCTATTCCTTACTTAGCTAGGACTAGAGTAGCCCCTCTGTATCCGAAGGCTCCTTTTGGCTCAATTTGTCTATGGTTATTTTATTGTGAATCCTACCTTCACCTTTGTGTTAGCAACTCTTTGATCAACCCAGGAAAGAGTACTAGAGGCCAAGATTAGGTATTGATTAGAGAAAGAAAGAAATTTAAAATATATATATATATATATGGGGGTGTATTCAATTTAGATTTTAAAAGATTTTAAAGAAGTTTAAAAGTTTAGGTCTATTCAATCACGATTTTATAGAAGTCTATTCAATTTTGGGTGTATTCAATTCAAACTTTTTAAACTACATTCAAATTTGAATGTATTCAATCACGACTTTAAAAGATTTCATAAAAGTTTGGGTGTATTCAAAAACTCATTGATTTTAAAGGAAATACAAAAAGTGGTGGATTTCGTTTGATAATAGACTAATTTTAGGCCATGACAAATCTTTTGCTTCCCCCCCTCCCCATAGATTTTGATAAATATATTATTTTTATTCTCAATATATGATTTCACCACTTCTACCACCACCATCTTATCATGACTATAACCATAGCCACCGCCGCCACCACCACCATAGTCATTGCCGCCGCCGCTAGTACCACCACCATCGCTGCCACTCTTAGCACCACTACCACCCACCGTCGCCCCCACTACCAGCCCCACCATCACCCCCATCGTCACCACCACTGTCGCTAGCACCATCACCATCACCATCACTGCCACCGCCACCACCTCCACCACTACCCATACCCTTACCTCCACCACCACTACCACCCCCACTATCAGCCCTACCTTCAACACCACTACAACCATTGCCAGCATCATCACCATCACTGCCACTGCTACTGCCACCTCCACCTCCACCACCACCAACACCTCCATCACCTCACTCCCACCACCACCATCACTATCACCCCCACCTCCTCCATACCTCACTCCCACCGCCACCACCAATACCATCCCCCACGTCCTCCACCACTACCTCCCCCACAAACCACCATTGCCACCACCATTGCCATCACCACCATCACCGTTGCTATAAAAACTCCATTAAAATCAATAGTAAAATTCTAACAAACTTAATTAAAATCTATACACAAATTCAGTCAAAATCTATGTGGAGTTTATAGAATTCAATCAAACTCAATTAAATTCAATTAAACTCCATCAACTTTATAACTTTTTAAAATCATTTAAAATCTAAATTGAATACACCCTCCTTAGTTACATAGATTAACATTTAGAAGAGAATTTAAGATAATACCTTTACACTCCTTTAGCAGTGAGGGCAACTTTAGTATCCCCCGTTGACCTTCTTTTGCAGATAGAATCTCCAATGAGTAGAAATAAGCAACCTTACTAATAAAGGTGCTTGTTGAGTAAGGCCGACTTTCGAGCCCAAGCCCCTTGTATAGGTTGGGTGCTTGAGCACATGTTTCTCATATCGATCAAGGCTTTCCTTGAGTTTTCAATAAGGGGCGCATTAGCACTTCTACAAGAAAACGGCCTAACTAACGCGCGCCCTGACGTTTTCTTTGCGTGCTCTGCCTGCAGTACGAGCCTTATATAGAGCCGCACCCCTTTAATATGATGAGAATAAGATGGACCACCCTTTTTTTTTCGCACCAATCCTTATTTACTATTATGTCTTTTTTGGGTTTATAGCTCAATTGGTAGAGCATTGAGCTTTTAACCTAATGGTCACAGGTTCAAGTCCTACTATACCCAAACCTACCTTACACAATACTATTAGTAAGGATGCGTAGTAGCATTCAAAGATCACTCTTTGGCCTTGAGACTCGCTTCAGCGACTTCGCCTATTAAGGAGGGTAATTTGGTAGCTTTGCTAAATGTGTTTTAAAAAAATATCCCAATTCTCCAACACCATTCCTCATTTTTTTTTTAATATTCATTTTCCATCTTTCCTCTTCCTCTCTCCTTTTACTGTCTCTCACTCACCTCCCACTCTCTCTTTTCTTCTTCTTCTTCTCTCCATCTCTTTTTTATTTTTCCTTTTCTTCTTCCTCATTCCGTCATTCTCCATTTCTCCTTTGTTTTCTTCTCTTCTTATTCGTCTTTTCCTCTCTATCTTTTTTTTTTTTAATAAAGAATCTAATCAACCATTTTTTTCTCTTCTTGTGACCTCCCACTCTCTTCTTCTTCTCTCCATCTCTTTTTTTTTTCCTTTTTTTTTTCCTCTTTCAGTCATTCTCCATCTCTTCTTTTTTTTTCCTTCTCTTTTTATCTGCATCTCTTGTCTCTTCCTCTTTGTCTTTTTTAATATATATATATATATATAATCTAATCTAATCAACCATATATTTTTTCTTCTTGTTTTTCTTTAGAGTATTTCCAACTGATGTGTCAAAAGTGCCGCATAGATATTTAACAACTAGAAATAACATCTCACGTCACTCCAACTGATGTGTCAAAGCTGATGTGGAATGAAGGATGTGTCAAAGCTGATGTGGAATGAAGGCTGAAGGTTGAGATGTTATTTTTGACATCCCCAAAGTAAGACGTCAAATGAATATTTTATTTTATTTTTTTTAAATTAAAAATAAATCAACACTAAAATATAATAAAATAATAATTTAATTTGACATATTGGGTGGAGTGTAAAGCTGTGTAAGATGTCAAATTGCCACATCAGCCATCAAATTTAAATTTGATGTTTGGTATTTGACATCTTCCTTGGAGATGCTCTTATGTAAGTTTTCTGGATGGTGTTTATGAGGTGGGAATTGAGAGAAAATGGACAGAGAGAGTGGTTACTGGCCGTGTATTTTTTTCCCTTTTTTGTTTTGGGTTTATTCTTAACGGGTTGTGTCGGATCATTCGTGAATTATAACGGGCCGTGTTTGAATCTGATATTTTCCACTTGTTAAATTAACGGTCGTGTCGTGTCAACCCGTTAACTTAACGGGTTGGCACGAATACGACTTGAAACACCGGAAACCCGTTAACGCGACCGTTTGCAGCAACCGTCCCCCTGCGCACCCTTCTTCACCTCTCAACGCAGCGCCGTCCACCTCCACCTCGCAATCTGCTCTCTCTCTCTCTCCCCCTGACCTCTCTCTCACAGCGGGTGGTCCAAGACTCGGCTGGGTCGGGGGAGTCACTGAAGCAGAGCTGCTGGGCTCAGATGCCTCAGGAGTTGCTGAGGGAAGTATTGGTGAGAATCAAGGCCTCCGAGGCCGCTTGAAAAATTAAAAAGACGATAATAATGTGGAACTTGTGTAGCTGAGAACGAAGAGTTTGACTGCGAAAGACCACATCAGGCAAACATTTTGGCTTGCATTTGATGTGTTTGATGAAATCCCTCCAGTATTTTTTCAGAATACTAATGCCCTTTGCACTACTAGCTTAGTATGGAAAATCACGACAAAGCCCAGCTTCTAAGTTTTCTCAAAACTCTTCCCCCTGTTGAGTTCTGCTGTGTCTATGGCTCATCTCTTCATCCCAACAATCCTGGCAGTGCAAAGGTTTCTACTATACTTCTATAGCTCTTTTTCACTCTTTTAGCAATTGCTTGTTCACTTAAGTAATATACATTTTGAACTTTTGCTTTGCATTTGTGAATTCTGGGTTGGTAGTCAACCATGGTAGATTGCATTCTTGGTGTATCCAATCCCCGACAATGGCATTCTGAGGTAAGCTTTAGACTTCCACACATACCATATGTCTCTTCTTGATGCTTCAATAATCAATCATGGTGTTTACTAATTTGTTTATGTACAACTAGAATCTGACATTGAACAACGATCATTATTCCTCGTGGATGGTGCTTCTTGGTGGGGCAAGACTGGTACTGCTCTCTCTCTCTCTGTGCTTCCATGTTCAGTTCTATTTTCATTGATTCCTGACACAATATAATCGTCCATGCTAGATTACCGACGTTGCAGATGAAATAGGTGTGGGGGTGCACTTCAATCCTTTTGTTAGTTGGAACGACAAGGTATTGATCATTCAGCTACCCCGTAGGTTCAAGTTTAGGCTATTTCTTGGGTGTCTGAGCTTTCATGCCATATTTTAAACTGATAGTGCATTAGTGTTTTGTTACACATTCTGTAATCTTTCACATCTTGTATTTTGTTACAAATTCGTCACACTCAAGTAATTTTTTTACAGATGTTCAAGTATGGGGTTGTTTGCATGCACGACTTGGTTCAGGACATGCTAAATTGGGAGAGGTTCTATTTGAGCGGCCGATTACAAAAACCAGTATGTCTTCTTCATTGATTCTCTTTTTCTTTTTGTCTTTATGTTTGTGGAAGATTAATCTTCAGCTTCATATTTGTCCTCCTTTCATTTTGATTTTAGTTAACTTCCTGTTTAGTTACATTATTTTCTAACTAGCACCACCCTTCACATTGCATGAAGATGGTCTAAGTTTTAGAACTTTCAATCTGTTCAATGATAATCTTAGTGATGTAATTCTTGGTAAAAAAAATAAAAAAACCCTCTGCTAGTTTGATTAACAAATTTTTACCTTACTGAAATATTTTGTAGCACACGGAAATTGCCTGAAACTAATGAAAATTAAAATACATGTTCTTATGCTATGTCTTAAAATAATGCCATTCTGTTGAAGACCAAAGACTCGGATTGTCTCATCTAGTTCATGTTATGATACATTATCATTATATTCAACATGAGAGTTTTCAATGTTTTTTTCTACAGGTTCATGTACTTCTGGATAATTTGGATATCGCAAATGTAAACTCGGTTAATTTGAGGGCTGCAATGTCTGCAGCTCTCCTTCTTTTGCCGTCCAAGTTCACTGAGGTCTGATTCTTTGTCACTGCTCAATGATTTTAAATATTTTGGAGTTCTATAACATATTCCATTTAATGCAGGAAGAATTGTACGCCAAAATATGTAGCCTCTCGTATATGGGCGACTTGCGTATGCTTTTTGCAGAGGACAGAAATAAGGTAAAGCTCAATCAGTGGTTACATAAATCCACAAACTTGCATTCAGTTGTTGGGTCTTGTAATTATATGGCCAAACATAATCAAATTTTTTTAAATTACATTATCTACTGCAGGTGAAGAAAATAGTACAAGGGCAATTTGAATTGTTCCGGCCGATGTATAAGCCATTTATTGAAGAGTATGAGACCAAAGAGTTGTTGAGACGCTCTTTATCTGGGAATACTCAACCAATCATATCTCAGGTCTATTCTGACCCTTAGGTTGCAGTGTGAAGTTGATCCAACATTTCTTTTACTGGCGAAGGGTTGATTTATAGCTTCTTATAAAAGTTGAAAAAGAAAAAGAAAAAACAGAAGCGTTGATTTAATGGGTGTATGGAACCTCAGTGCATGTTTTAGAACATAAGCTAGATACCAACTTTAAGACTTCACTATATGGCTAATTCTTCTAAAAGTTATGCTATGTAGTGTACAGTTCAATGCTTTGAAGCTTAAGATACATTATTACCTGTTAAAACAGGATGGTGGTTTATTAGCAGCTCGATCTCTTGTTTCTTCTCTGCCCCAAATGGTCAGAAGCCAAATGGGGATGAAGCTAGGAGAAAAGAAAGTACTGTGTGACTCTGGTATGAACCTTAACTCATCTGCAGTGGCTTATAAGGAAAAAGGTTTTTTAAGGATTGATCTGAGTTCAGATTTAATGATCATACCTGACCCAAAGTTTTTTTGGAAAATATTGCTTGTTTGTTATAAATGGAAAGGTGAAAGTTCATAGAAAACTTCCAGATTTATGTGCCACAGGTAGTGTTTTAACTGGGGTGGTAGTTTAACATATGTACTTGTACCTCTTGAATCTGGATTTTAGTCAATCATTACACATATCTTGTACTTCAATTGCAGGTCGAGTTATTCAGGAAATTGTGATTGGCTCCAAAGACGAGGCTGCTAAATGCATGCAGACTATTCTGCGGCGAAAGGTCATGGTTTCGAGTGCAAGACAGGCCGTGTCTGGTCTCCTGGCTGCTGGTGGCATTACTGCCATGAGATATCTTGGTGCTAAAATGAGCAAGGCTTGGAAATCCTGGAGATGATAATTTTTTATATATACTGTTAGCCATAAACTGTTAGCATCAGAGGGACATGGAAAGTGTGATTTTGCAATTCCATCGCAACAAGAGGTGAGATGCTCGAAACGTAACCTATATATGTTAGAATTCTTAGTTTCAGCATTTCATGTTTTGGATATTTTGGGAGCAAAGAAAGAAAAAAGCACAGAAGGATTGAGAGAACGTTGCTCAGAAGAAAAATGAATAAAACTTCTGTGTATTCATATATCAGTTAGATTGTTTTGGGTATAATCGTTTAGGCAAAGAGAAGAAAAAGAGATATTCTTCCCTATACCATATTTACAATAAGCTCAAGTTCTAGCATCCTATTAGATGCTTACACATGTCACTTAAACCTATGCTAGAGATTAAAACACTTGGACTGTGATCCAAGGGTGCACAATAAAGCTGAAGAAAAATAAACAACTAAAAGAAATAAAAAACAGAGCAGACACAATTCCTTTAGCTTCAAAGACTCGGCTGAAGGATTACACTCCAACAATATAAGCTCCCCAGGGTTCACTGGTCAATAGGTTTCGTTCAAACAAGATATTGTTGTTTGTACCAGGGAAGAAGACACTGGTGTTATCAGTGAGCATTTTGTATAAGAAACTGAGAGGAAAAGCAAGTTTTGTATACTGCGACATGCAAGTAAATGTTTTCAAGATTAGCTATTCATATCTCTATGCATGTACTACCGATAACATTTTGGTAGAGAGTAGAAGTATTGGTTCCTGGAGAAGATTATTAATACCAAGTTGCTGAAAGTTAGCAGTGCGGAAACGCGGTATTGAAAGTTAAGAAATTTGGATGCTTATTAAAGAAGAAAAAGATATAAAATGAAAAGTAAATTAGTAAATTAGTTAAGTCTGAAACGGTAACTGGTATGGGTCCCTTCATAGGTAAAGCTCCAACCTTTCAGACTTATAATCAAAATAGTGACCTTTCAAAGGAAATCTAGGGCTGGATTGTAGAATTTCAAAAGGAGTTGAGGACGGAAATGTTGTTTGCCTAATGACATGTTTACTAATCCGTAATTGGATTAAGACCATGTTTACTAATCCGTAATTGGATTAGGACTTAAATTGATGATGAATTGAATTGAGGAGGAATTGGATTGAGGAGGAATAGATTCCGGATTCATATTAAAGTTATTCCCCTACTCCCCCTCCTACTAAAAGGTTTTTTAGGTTTTAGACATAAAAAAAATTTCACTTTTGGACAAAACCAAAGCTTTTTCAAAAAAGACAAAAAAACCACTCAACTTTCAAATCAAAGACATGCAAATGTATTGGATTCCTTAGGAAATCTAAAAATAAATAAGGGCATTTTTGTCCATTTTTGCTTCTTTTAAAAATTTTCTCTCTCCTTTTGCTTTTTCCAAAATGTCCCTTCACTAAATCATATGGTTTGAGGGGAGTTAGATTCTGGATTCCTATTAAAGTTGTTTACTAAACTATATGGAATTGGGGTATGAGTGGTACTAATTACTAAAATGTCCTCGTTGTTGGGTTAAAGTAGATGACAAATTTGAAAATTTTAAATTGTGTGAGGATAGGAGTGTGCTAATTACTAAAATGTCCTCGTTGTTGGGTTAAAGTAGATGACAAATTTGAAAATTTTAAATTGTGTGAGGATATAATGGGTAAAAAAGATATTCCTAATGGGTTGGTTCTCCAGGAATTAGAATACCACCTCTCACTTAAGAATTGAATTCTTCCAAAATCAGGAATTCAATTTCTAATTTTGTGTGGGCCTCACTAACTTTTCAATTCCTTGATGTGAAGTAAATCCAGAAATCTTCCATAGGTGGAATTCAATTCCTAATAAGAATTCCAATTCTTAATTAGTAAACACACCATAATTGAAGACGGCGTGTGTCTAAGATTACCTCAACGGTTTAATCCGTGTCAATTGCTTGCCCAAACGACCTCAAATTGAGCCTAGTGGGCTTAGGGCGCAATGGTTGCCCGTTTCCAACCCTCAGCGAAAAGCTATTGGATAAAATAAAGTCTTTGGGCCACTTGAATTGCTTAAAAACTGAATTATCTGTTAAATTGATAATTACCTAGAATTAAAGATGGATCTTATCTTTTCTTAGCAGCAGCAAAGGCAAGGTAATTAGATAATTGATCTTAATTGATTAGGTATTATCTTCATCAATGTCGTTCCCTATCCCTGGCTGACCATTACCTATGAGTTAAGGCGAAAGTAATATAAAAATGAGAGAATAATTCATTGCCTAGACACGCAACTTATCAACAATAGCCTCAATACAAACCTTAATCCTTCCTTCAAGGCACATAGGTTATTGATATTCCGAGGCTGGTATCGATTCCCAATTGATCTATGTCAATTGAAGGTGTTGTTCTCAATTGCGTTGCAAAGTTTTGACCCCATCTTTTGATTGTTACTAGACCTCTCAACACTGTGAAGCCATTCTTGCAATCCAGGAGTAGCCCAAGGTGATAGCAGTCCCAGTTCTAATCAGATCTCTTAGATTTGGCCCTTTGTTTACTGAATATTGTCGTTTATTTCCTTTAGTTTGTATTAGAGAAATATTAAAGTCCTCATTTGTCTTGAGGGATAGAAAGGAACCAACAGTGAACCAATTCCCCACTCAATACACAATTGCTTGGTTGGAAGTCAGATTTCTTGGTGCGCAAGTTACTTAATTTTATTCATGTCTATTAGGGTTTTACAATGCTAATAGTGGCACGCTCACAATTTCGTACAACTTCTAGCCTATTTCTAAGGCTGGGAGATTTGGAACAATGTCAAAAACCTGAAATTGAATGAATTTATCATTCAATATTAAGTAATTTAAAATACATAAATAAAAAAACCAATCTACAACAAGCATCCTCTCAACAACTAATCCAAGCCATATATCTTGACAGCTTCACTGACATGGCAAAAATCTATCCAACCAAGGATCCGAAGAATGTGTGTTGAAAGTGGCAATGTATAATCAGGGGAGCTATGTACCAGAACTGAGGGATGACGAGGAAGCATTTGACATTGACAGAACCAAAAGAAAATTTAGACTTTTGTGTAATTGGAGAAAAGCTGCAGCAGTTTCCCCAAAGTTTCAGGATAAAACTTTCTGGCAAATAGAAAACAGGGTCTCTTCATCCCATTCCACAAGCAAGGAGTGGTCAGTAATTGCTTCTGCAGAATTCAATGCAGACCAAAAATCCAAATTTCAAAGTCTGCCTTCCCAAATTACAGAAAGCATTACCACAACAAAAATATTATTAGAGTCGTCAAATTTATTCACCAAATGATGTGTGCAGGATGATACGATACGTAGTTAGATATAAATGAGGTGCCGATAGAGCTGCCACATCATTTTGCAAACAAATTTAATGACCCTAGCATTACTGATTACTTTTACCACAAGCAAGCCAACTTGTTTGATCCAACTCTGAAAGGATTATTTGTACCTTGTCTTCGCTTGTAATATGTGTGCTCTCAGCGATGGACTGAAATGGGTGAGAGAGTGGCACTAAGTGAATGGCACGTCACATGAAAATGAAGTGAGGGTTAAGAAAGAAAAAATTTCCAAAACAATACCGTGATGTTCCTAAGGAGGTCATAAGTAACATCCTGAGTTCTATATGCTCTTGGGTGCCACTTCCCTTCAGACCAATCAACATATGTTACTGACCAATTCGCAAGTCCACTAGGATCTTTCATCTGAAAACCATTAATGGAAAATGAAAAAGAGAAGTAGTGGCAGCAAAGAAATTAGAAAGGAGTGAAATGCAGTTGTAATGGCAAGCAAACGGAGAAGGTTTGTTGTGCTGACTTGAAAGAAAGTTGGCAGGTAATGCTCATCCGAATAGCAGTTGCGCCCATCCATGTTTGGCTGAGAAAGTCAGAAACAGCATCGAGTTCAATCCAAAACTAGCAAGCCAGGACTAACAATAGATGTAAATAGTTTGAATTTTGGAGAGTAAGATTCTTAAAATAAAAAAATGAAAATATTTGGTGTTGAAAGAATTTACTCTAGATAAGGCCTAACTTAATGATGCCAAAAGCATATCATAACAAACAGATTACCCTGCAGTAAAGCTTGAACTTTGTATAGTAAAGACTATCTGCCATCATGACAATTGCATGTTGCCGCTTCATAGAGAACCACTGCAGTGCAAATGTCAGTTAAAACCAACCATATACGAGACATATCAACTGTCCTTGCACAAATCTTCATCTGATCAATGAGCACATTATATACCAAAGCTCTTGTTGATCAAATGCTCTGTCAAAAGGAGACAATAAACGTGAACAAGAACAAGAAATCAATCCAAATATTGCAATCATTCATACACTTGGGACAAGAAAGATAGGATAAAGAAGCTCATGTGACTTATAAAGAACAAGTGACAAGATTCTACGAATCATAAATATACTCATAAGAACGGGTTTTACAACTCTGAGACCTATTTGCAATCATTCATCCAGCTTCTTTTTCTAGTTTCAATAGCGCCCGCAGGGGGGTGGGTGTGGGGGAAGGGGGGAGGAGGAGGGAAGGATGCAACCAGATATAAAGGAAGCCAATTTGAAATTTTGCACACCTAGGTGTTTAACATGGAAATATACACTTAAGAAATGATTTTAGAAACGTATCGATAATTCAATGGAAGGAAAATATTTGTAAGTATAGCAAGTAATCCATCTTCTTTTGTGGCTCCACATGCGCCTGAAAAGGAATATCTTGCCCCATCCACTAAGCTTTAACACATTGCATTGAGACTAAATTTTACTTCCCAGATGACACCAGATCCAAATTAAAGCCAGTCTGAAATTTTGCACTAGTCAAATCATATACGTTTAGCATAGGTCATAGGTTAACTTACAGGTCATGTATATTCCTAAATAAAGTGCTTCAAACTCCAGTTATCATTCAAGAAATAGACTTACAGCAATTAGCCGAGTCAACAACAAGGTTATTAAATTGACATAAATGCAACTACCTGCAG